AAAAAAGAAAAGATATGTACTTGACAACATAAATAAAAAGATTGAAACTTCACATTGAGCATAATTTCCCCTATATTATAATAAAAAAACAGAAGATACAGTCCATTTCACTTCTCTTATGGTGAACAGTTAAGCTGCATCAAATACTACTATAAAAAAACATAAAACGTCTAATAAATACATAATTTCCCAAGAATTTTACACTATTCTTAAATGATGCGGTATTATACACTGTAAAAAAAATTGGACTTAATTTCACGCAATTTCAGGCAATAATATATCAATTTAGTGAAATTCTCACTCTGTAAAAAAATTTCACTCAAATTTCGCTCAATTTTACTCAATAATGTATCAATTTCTGCCCACACCCGATTGTGTGAAATTTTCACTCTATTAGTACGAGTACAACTGAGTGAAACTATTTCATCATAAATGAGTGAGTTTTACTTAAATTCGAGTTACTGCTAACTACCAAAAATAAATCACTAATAAATGATTAATTAGGATATACAGTGTTGAATTCAGTTCGCGGGATCTCCTCCTGTCCTGGCTGAGATCCACCAGGTGAGACCCCCCGCCGCCGGCTAAGGCCTGTTCTCCTAGCGGTCACGCTTTTCTGGAGCATCTGAGTTTATCTACAGAATCTATTTATATTGGAGTGAAAGTACTCAATTTCAGTTCAAATATGATCAAAAATGTTACTCATTTACTCAATATTGAGTGAAAATATACTGAATAATTTCACTCAATGATTTCACTCATCCATACCGATTTATTTACACTGTAGAAGTTTATCAGAATTATTAATTCTTTATGGAACAATATTTTACAACCATAGATTTTGAAGAAGTAAAAATTCATAAAACGCGATGACAATAATGTTTTAATCTATCATTGCAGTGTTACCAATAACATTAACAAATGCATTTATTATTTATTTATACTTAAAAAGCAGTCGACACATACATTTGTACATTATGTTACAGACATTAGTACCTTTAATTTGAATTGATATGGTAATTAGAGACTGTACAGTATTGAAATAATTAATTATAATTTCAAGAACAAGTATTATAAAGTTACTTACATTTTGAATTAAGGTTTTGCTACGTAAGTAAATTCTATAGAAACTTTTTTAATAGGCCTCTTTAGTTGTATATAGATTACTAACTTTCACCATTATTCTCGGCGTCTTGTCCCGAATTTACTATTTAAAACAAATTATAGCCTTGTTTTACGTATTATTAGAATAAACGTTACCTAACTTTTAATTGATAGTTAACATAAAATTTTTAACGCAGCATATTTGTGTTAATACCATCTACCCATTAATCAAACCGGGAAAGGATATAAATATCCCTTTTCATACATCAGACATAATATGATGCTATCTCACTAGAATAAAATATATTATCGTTTAAAATTTTAAATTATTCTGTTTAATGTAATTGCGGGCCATTATCGCACCCCTCTTCTTTAATAAGAGACTGTTATATCTGAACGTTAACCAAACAAATTTTCCTTTAAGAGACACACTTTTAAGTCTTTGAAATACCCGATAAATAATCTTGCTGTCAGAAGAAGTTAAAGATACCGTTCTATTTAAAAGGAGATAATATTGTAATCTGTATTCGAGTTGTTTACCCGATACATTAAGGCAGAATTTGTCGGGTACGTTAACCCTGTTCCTTGGAGCAACCGATTTTTTGGAATGTGGGTAAATGTGCCCCTTAAGCAGACAACCAACTGTACGGAATGTTTTTTGAGTCCATGTCATAACTTCAGAGGAGTGTTTCTTGGAACCAGGTGTCTGATATCGTTGGTTTTCGAGATTCACGGTATTGAACGTATGTTTAAGTATGTCTGAAGACGTTTTGCGTAGGTTGATGAAATTTAGGTTAATTATTTAACTAATTTAAGACATTAATTTGCTGATTTTTACACAAATACAGACACTGGTAGGCAATGCCGTTGAAAACCAGCCATAGAATTTCTACGCCACTGAGTTTTTTCGAAATTCAATAAAGTCGTTTTATTCATAGTTATTATTTTTCTAAGTTTTACGATTTTTTTTTAAATTTTGATGATTACGCTGTATTTGAAATGAAAGATTGAGCAGTCTTTTCTATATGAAAAAATTTTCAAGGATCGAGATGCTTTATTTGAGGCTGGGCAACATTTTGAAAATTCGAAAATTTTTTTCCAAAATTTTTTTCAATAAATTATTTTGCGAAAACTATCGAACCGATTTCAATGAAATTTGGTGTGTTGTTTTATTATACTCTAACGTTTTTTTTTTCACCAAAATTAGAACGCCCTCGGAGCAAATAAAACATTAAAAAAAAATTATCCAAAAGCCTTGATTATTTTGCCCTTTTCTCATCAATTATTGCTATTTTGCAACATCGGTAATAAATTTAAACAGTTTTAACTTACAGTATATTGTGCAAAATTCAATTCTAAAACTTTTGCCTCTTCAATATTCTTCCAAAATGCGCAGGTTCCAAGATATAAGTAAAAAACTCAGATGAAATAGTTATTTTTTTTAAACTTTTAAACATTTTTCAATTTTGAAAACGTTCCGGAACTCGCGCAGGTCTACACTTTTATTATGTGAGTTGTATCGAAGGTAATCCAGAAAAAATTTCTCACATCCACCTCAAAACAGATCCGCCCTGGTCTTTTACTTTATTATTGTTTTTCTAATATGTTATATGTTACCAAACAAATTAGATGTATGTTATTGGAATTGTACCTATATATGAATGTATTTGACGCACCATTGACAAAAATGAAATATTACTTCTAAATATACCTATGTAGGTAGAAAAAAATCAATTTAAATAAACGTACTTATCTGAAATTACTATTATCGAAATTAGAGGGAAAAAAAACACTATATTAAAACTTACAGACCTTATAGGCCACGTTTGTCTATTAGGTATATGTATAGCATAATAAATAATGAGGTATATTTTATATTTATTGTCAAAAGATAATTAAAATTGTTACCTCCATATCGATGAAGTTGTCCGCTTTTCATATTGGATGCTGATTAGGGAAATATCTGTTACAATTATTTTATATTCGCTTTGTAAGTAACATAACACATTTTATCAAATAAGCCCACTTCACTAATCCACTCCCAAATAGGTATTATCCATTCACATGAAACGAAATTAATCAGATTTTCATTTATTATCCAGTTTATCAGTTGCGTAAATCAACTCACATCTTTCATCTCCACATATTTATTGCCTGATCTGTAGACACTGCTAACGTCATATAAAAAATGAAAATTCTCAATATATCTATATATAAAATCTTCAATAAGCCTTTACTACTTGCTTTCAATTAAGCGAAAATTTCTGTAGATCGAGCAGGAATTCTGCTTTAATTTATGTCGGATTTGCTGAAGATTTTGCGGTAGATACTAATTAATGCCTAAGGCTAGTAGTATAGTTGTCTTTTTTACTTTGTATTAATTACTTATTGCTTGAGTACTTACTAGCAAATATTTTGAAACTGGACAAATATCTGTTTATTCACAGAATTATGAAAATTAATACAAATAATTTCAGTAGTGATTGTAGATGTAAAAAATTAGTGAAATGATATAAAACCTACTAGGTACACCCACCAACTACACTAAAACAATCCAGTGTTGTCAAAACTATTTCGCGAATTCTAAAAGGCGCGATTTTGTAAAATTTGTAAATAATTCCTTCTGTTCAAGTAATTTTGATAACTAAAGAAATAATCTTTTGGTTACGACGACTTTAAAATAGTATGGTAGGCAAAATTATCTTAGACGCAGATGGGAATAAATATTATATTTTTAATAATGTCAGAATCCAAAGCATTTTTTAATCGTAAATTGTCCGTAATTGCTAGGCATGTTTCATTTAATCCGGAGCGCCCCAAGTTGTTGTTGTCAAAATCAACTGCAAAAAATCAACACTTTTATGGTCGCTAGGAGCCCATCTTTAGTAGAAGAACAGCGAATCGAAAATTTCGCAAAATTCAATGAACAATAGCATTATCTTTAATCGACAAATGGTTAAAGCAAGCGGGAATTTTAACCAAAACTTTGACAACCACTGGCACAGCGAAAGCTTTTAACAAATTCAAATCTAAAGATTATCATGATTTTGAAGCTCGTATAGGATTTGGCTGGGTACCGGCAGATTAGATCAAGGAAAAATTGTTGACATGTCATGTTTTTACAACTAATTAACCACGGTGAAAAAATCTCTTATAACTATCGTTCTTTCCTGAATTTTTTTTCATCATAATTTTTCCATTCTTGTTCTGATCTTAAAATAACCATCTTGTGCCCTTTTTAGGCATATTTCACATTACAAAATATAATTAGGACTTTAATATCCGAAGCATCTTGATCTGTTGCAAGTGGGACATCTAGGTATCTCAATTCCAATATATATCTCCTACTGTATAGTATGAATCCATGTGGATTTTTAAAATGTTTAGGTTAATAAAAGGTACATCAAACCATATTGCTGTTTCTTACGTGATTAGTCAAGGGTGATTTTTTTTAAGTATTCCCATATCTCCTAAAGAAAAGCTTCTCCAAATATGATATACATAATAAGAAATGAATGGTATCGGAAAGGTTTACAAAATTAATTAGATATTACGACAATATGCTTTTATTTATTAGTTTGGTACAGTCAGTTCATTGAGTTCATTATATGCCTACAACTATTGATTTAGACTAGATATGGAGAAATAAAATAATGGTAATAGACACTCTTTGTTCCAAAAAAAATTATTCTGTCAGTTTGAAGGTATCAGTGTATATTATATCAAAGTATTTTGGGTTGTTGTCTTATTTCAGTACAATATTAATTAAATTTTTAAATTAAACACGGTTCTTAATCTTTTTGCTTTTAAAACATGGCTAAGATCTTATGTAGCTGATAAATATTTTATAGTAAATGCAGAATGACGTAGTAATTGAAAATACATGAATGGAACTTAAGATGCACTTAAATAGATAGTGAAATACAATTACTAGAGCCTACATGTGTAGGCGTCCGTTGTTCTTTTGCCTAGCCACAATCAGAAATCTGATTGGCGTTCAACCGAAAGCAAGAAATGGTACTAACTCCTTTCACATCTGGAAAATACTGTCTAAGGGTTTCTTACCTCTTTGTTGGTGAAGTAACCGCCGCCGTCCTGAAACAGAAAAAAAAACTTGTAAATCAAACGGTACAATTACATTTAAACAGGCTAATGGCATTGTTATACCAGAAAACAGTTGTATTCATTACACTAGTCGCAAAGCAATCAGATAAAAGTACGTCCAAACGTATAATTTTCAAGTAGCGGCGTTATTATTCCATAATGACACACACCAGAGCAACTGGTGATTATACCTTGATCGCTCAAAGAGTTCAACATAGAACCCCCATTTGGAAGCAGGTGCAGCCCCCCTATTAATTTTTTTAAATTAGACCACTCAGCTATCTATATCTTTGTAAAATATTACGAAAGGTAACAGTTTAAGTTTGAACCAATCAGATTGGCATGAAAATTTGAGTGACAGCTCGATTCTTATCCATATCAATTTTTTAGATACCTTATCCTGATACTAGGTACAAGAAATGTAAAATGTAGGAATACTTAAGGAGTTTGTTATGTAGATATAATAAGCTGTGATCCAAATTAATAAAAATGATTAGTCAAGGACACAGAACACCAGTTTAACCGAACATCGAAAACTAACAACAAATTGATGATATTGCACTAATGTTTTTGAAATTCATATAAAGCTGGCTTCGGATGATGCAGTCACTTGCCAAACATTCGTCTAACACAAATGTGTAAAATATTTATAATAATTAATAATTAACAAACTTCATTTTTCTAAGCATTTTCAACACTCGTATTACTTTTCTTCTGTCTTATCTCCTGCATAATAATTTCGCCACACATCTGCTTAATTTTTCTTTTTGGATTCTCTAATTTGAAGCTTATTCTTATAAACTTCCTTTCTCAATGGTGTTTCAACAACGGAGATAATTAGTGTTCACCAAATTTCAATTCAATATTGCTGACAGTAGATCTAGTAATCGGAGGTCGATCAGGATGAATTACATTAATTAAATTACACACTTTTTGTTGAGTATGCACTCTGTCTCCAAAACCCATCATCGTAAGTACTTCAATACGTTCTTTCTCAGGTAAACGCATTGTTAAAATGAAACGTAACTGACAAAATGACATTGACAAACTAAACGCCGGTGATAGTTTGGCTTTTATTATCACAAAATACTACATCAAAATTGGTTAGGGGGTCAAGGAATGAAAAACGATTAATACGAAGAAAATTGTTTTGTTGTCGCTGATTTTAGAGATATGGTATGTTATACAAAAAGTGTTCAGAATTTACCGTACAAAAATGAGATATATAGGGTGTACCATTTAAAAAAATCAATGATGACTGCGTATGTTCTTCTTTAGACACTCTGTATACAATTTTCATATTTCAAAAAATCCGCAACTGAAGTACTAATCGACGAACGTTTTTCCACAAAATAATTACCTTAATTTTAAACAGATTTGTTCCTTTTATCATGAACGCACTGTATAGTAACTTAACATTATAATTTTGTGTCTTTTTGTGTTACGTCAGTGTTTTCAGTAATTGTGAAAATATTAGAAGCAAATAGGTTGCTATACTATTATTTTTGCGGCTATTAAAAAAGTCTTCTCGAGGATTCGATACTTACTTGGCCTAATATAAAAAGAAAGAGAAGCTTATCTAATTTTGATATCTTGTAAATTAACGTTTACGCTAAAATAAAACTCAATACTACTCGTATATTTTGATCAAATTTAAAGAAATTTATTTTATTCAAAGGGGCTTCTAGATATGCTAAGTTAAAGTCTGTTTAGAAATGAAAGAGAGTAATAAAAGCTCATTATGTATGCAAATCGTAAATAAATGTAGTACTGGTGCTTATATTCGATATTTTTATATTATGTATTTTCCGTATAGATGAGGTCTACTTTTAACAAAACTTTGTGCGATCGGACTGTACTAAATTGTAGCAGGTAGCTAAAATTTAATCCCCGACAATCCGTCTTTGTCTATGCCGCTTCAATTTCTCGGTCCATTTCTCTTATAAGTAAACAATATAAAAACAGAATTTCAAAACATGTGGATAATTTAAGCATCATAACCGGGATAAGAGGGTTTTTTGTAATTCAAATAAAATTATTCAATATTATTATCAAAATATTTAATGAATAGACTATTATTCCAGACAAAAATATATGTATTTTGAAAATTCAAATTATGGTGAGTAAATGTAGTATTGTATAAATGTACAATAAAGAAAATAAAAAAGTAGGTATATTAAAATAAAAGTAAACCGCCATCTACAAAACCACTGGCACTACCTATATGTGTCACTATTAATCTTCTCCCTTTACGTGAAGGTGCCGTGAACCCTGTTGAAAGTTCATCCAAAAATGCTTGTCGAAAACTTTTTACATTTTTATCTTGCCATACTTTTGTTACAGTATAGTCCTCGTTGACCCAAATTTCGTCTAGATAATAAATATTCCTCCCTTCGTCACGGAATTTTCTAATTGATCTTAAGTAGGATATTCGCCAACAAATAATTTCATCTTTATCGATAAGAACTGACTTCCTGTTCTGCTTTTCCCAGCAAAAATTTAACTCTCGTAAGACGGCCCATAATTTGCTTCTACTGATTTTTGGCAAATCGTTGTCCTCTGAAAGTTCACTTAAAATTTTGTTTAGCGTTGGTATTTCTTTTTTAAAATAAAATGAGTGTACTTTTCTGCGAATGACATTTTTGAAGAAATCATCTATAACGACTTTTGACCTCCCTGTAGATGATTTTGGGGGATTTACAGTATCTTGTTCATTTTTTGTTTCCTTTAAAAGTCTGTAGATAGTCGATTTTCCAATCCCTGTCATTTTGGAACACTTTTCCACGATGTCGTCAACACTGTTGGTAAGTTTCTGGTGTTTCAATGCATTAATATGATAATCTTCTCATTCTGAGACAGCGCACATCTTTTCACGCGTTTAGCAGGTACGTAATCTGATAAGCTCGACATAGTCACTAAACACAAGTCGAATTTTACTCTACTGCACTAGCACGTCTTTGTATATTCAGCTCTAAGACTGGATTGATCTGTCACAATACACTGGCTCCTGCCCTATGATGTATCCAGTAAAATATACTAATGTACACCCATTACCTGTTAGCATTAGTGTTACCCGATAATTACCTGAAACGAAATATTACCACGCCCATGGCCGGTTCTTATCTCGGGGTTTTATTACTCTCTTTCATTTCCAAACAGACTATAGAATATACTATTAATTTTCACATAAAAAAATCGATAATATATACATTTTCAAAGTCCCTACCTTTCTCATTTTAAAACCAAACATCTACGATAAAAATCAAAATTGTGCACTTGCCATTTTTTTTATAATAATAATAATAATTTATTTTCCTGTCGACAAAATCCATTTGTATAGGAATGGTCATAAATGCGTCTCAGCATTGTGTTGATGTGCGTTTATAGACATGCTTTCGAATGTTGTGTTTTCGATATGCCTCATCCACACGATATGGCATTTGTTTATGTTTGACGAATATTTGGCAAGTCATCGAATTAGCTGAAGCCGATCCAATGGTAAGAAACATCTTGCTCTAATCAAGAAGAAACTCAATTATAAGTTCTTTACTGAAAACACAATTATCTGTGGTATGACTTTTGATACACTTCTAGCTAGATGAATCTAGATTAAAGGAGGGACACTAAATACACGATACGAAAATGTTGTAGATATACCATACGTCTAATGATATTACTTTCACTCATGAAACGATTGCATGTTTTGCTTCATTCATTTAGATTTAATCTTTGAAGACAAAAATTTAGAAAAACATTTGATTCTAATTTAATATAGAAATTAGTACGATGCAGTGAATAACGAATTTATTAAAAAAAAAAAATGGTGATTGATTGAATATCATGAGTGATTTCAAAAGAAATGTTGCAATCTATTCCTGAAGAATTGCTAGTTTTCTATTCTTTATTAATTTTTCTGAAGGTGACAACTGTATATACAGGGAATTTATGAACTTGGTGATTTATTTTCATAAGTCTTTATGAAAGAAAATTGCTGAAAATTTTTCTTAGTACAAAATAAATAGCAAAATAATACACATTATTGTAATAATTTACCCCAATCTCTGAAAGAATGTCCACTCGCAATGATTTTTCTTATTAATGTCAACGAATTTTTTTTTTTTCACATTAAATTCTATTGCAGTTTCGGATTAGTTATTTCTTAACTGTCATCTTTGCACATCTAAAAGTCGTAACGTTCTCCGTTTAAACGATGCTTTTTTGTTAATGTTTAAAATATAATAATGAAAACCTTTAATTCATTTTTAGAGATGAGCAAATTTAATGAAATAAGTTATCTACTTTTTGTAATAAGTCCGTTGACGATAGCTTTCCGTGTAGTTTGTAAACAATTATAAAATGTAAAAATATCTTACAAAGAGATCGTGGTTTTGCACAAGATTTTAATGTTAACATCAAAAACTCTCATAATTTGTTTTCAATTAAGTACCTGTTACATCAGAGTCGTGTTAAAATTATCAGTGTTTCTTCATACTGTTTGTCGAAATGTAGTTTATTGCGTATTTGTCCCGATAAAAATCTAGAAAAAAATATATTTGTACATAAGTATGCATTTGCTGCTGAAATATTTTTCCATACGCGAGTAACATTTAAAAATATCTCACTTGAAATGTGGAACGCCTTGTACCTTTCAAATAGTACATTTGAATCGAATCGATTTTTTCTGATAACGGCATATTTGTATTATTTTTTTAATTATTTGGCATCGGTTATCACACGACGAACATGGGTTTGCTTATCAAACGTTATCCGTGCGAATCGTTTTGAATCAATAATTAGTTGTAAAATATATGTACACTCGAGTGCAGGTTAAACAATAAAATCATGTTTAAATTTAAAACATATGTATTGCTATCTTATCAAAGAGTAATGCATATTTTAGTCTTAGAAATAGTCATTTTTAGAAACAAAATATTCCATGTTTTACATTACTTTGGATAATAACAAAATATTAATAATGTAAAAACATACGT